GCCGTTGTATAGTCCTCTGATTTTTATGCTGCTACTTGCAGCTGCCTCTGGTCCGATAACTGCAGCTACAGCTTCTATCACTTCCTCAGGTGTGGTTGTCTCATCCATGTCTTTGATCCTGAGGGTTTCTTTATCGGTCATAAGTGGACTTCTGCTGACTCCTCAGGTGTGGCCAGGACCATCTCTTCTATGTTTGGGGACCCGGTTCCCGGTTTCCCCAGTTCGAGGGGTAGTTCTCCTGCTCTAGTACGCCGTATTCGGGTGACTCTTTCACCTATCTCCTTCATGTTGGGTGCTGCCTTGACCTTCCTCAAGATGTCGGCATACGAAGTCTCGCCCAGTGCTTTGATCTTAATAGCTTCTGGGCGAGGCTTCCTGCTCGTGGTCTTAGTGGTTTTACCCTCTTTACTGCCTTCTTTTTTATTGGTCTCTTTTCTCTTCTTTTCTTTCTTCTTGGCTTTGCCCTTTCTTCTTACCTCTTTCCATTCGGAGGCTTTTTTCTCGGCAATCTCCTTTCTTTCTTCACTCTCCCTTGTGAGCAGGGTTTTTTCCTGGTCGCTTTTGGCCTTCTTCATTGCTGGCGGGATCGTCGGCGATTGCGTTTCTAAATGTTCACGCTTTTTCGCTTTTTCTCTAAAGATGGGCGATGTTTGGGTCTCATCGTCCCTTACCGTCAGTTTTTCTGTACTTCTTTTGGCCCCCTGGTAGGAGAGCACGCGCAGCTTCGCGTACTCCTCTATCATACAGTCTGCCGTTCTGGCCATGGTCTTCAGTTCTGCGTGGAGGTTCTTCTTTTCTAGAATAAACTCCACCAGCTTTTTGACCTTTCTCTCCAGGCTCTTGAAGCATTTATCAGCTTCACTGCGGTATTTTTCATTTTGATTTGATTGATTATTCTTCATGTTGGTCCCACGAGTAGCTAGGGAAGTTGTCGTCGATCCCACGCAGAGCCCCGCGTGTGTGGGACAAGGCTAGATACGAGGGAGTTTCGCCAGGTGCTCCCAAGGCTCCATTTGGGACTCTCTGTTACCCCTGAGAGCCAACCAGGCTACATCGGCACGGGTCGTTTCACACCTTCAGCTTGGGGAGTCCGTTACCCTGGACGGGGACCCTTTAACAGGGTGCTATCATCCGGGCCAGATGAGCCTTGGTTGTTTAACGAGGTTGATACTCCTCCCCCTCCTCCTTCCCTGCTTCTTGAGTAGCAGGGTCCCGGGCTTGGGACCGGCGGTGGCGGAGTTGTTCTGAAGTGTGTGTGTGTGTGTGCGTGCGTGCGTGTGTGTGAGTGTGTATGTGTAGGGTGGGCCATTTTAAGTTGACCAGTAGGTTTTCTCGGAAACTATGACAGATAGCGAAATATTTTTCAGACAAAAGTTGCTCAATTTCGAGGGGGTCAAATTCTCATGACATTACCTTTGACCTTGGAGGTCATGTTCAAGGTCATTTGAAGGTCAACTTTGTTTTCTTACATGAGAACCCCTATTTTGACCCCGGATTCGGAAAGAGCGGAAAATTCTACCCAATTTTTTGTTTAGGCGTCATGTCTGCGGTCTATTTTGCCCTATTTATTCAAGGTCATAAATGAAGAAGGTAAGTGATTAAAGTATTTTAACATAACCTCCAAGATCAAAGGTACGGTCATAGGAATGTGGCCCCGTCGAAGTTGAGCAACTTTTGTCTAAAATATTTTTCGCTTAACATCACCCTTACCCGGTCATTCGGGAGGAAAAATTAAGAAAAAAAATAAATTGACCTTCACATGACCTTGAGTGGTGAATCGGACCCCACATTCGTTACATCATCTTAACGTAGAATTTCCCGCTCTTTCTGAATCCGGGATCAAAAATAGGAGTTCTCATTTAAGAAAACAAAGTTGACCTTCAAATGACCTTGAACGTGACCTCCAAGGTCAAATGTAAGATCATGAGAATTTGAGCCCCTCGAAATTGAGCAACTTCTGTCTGAAAAATATTTCGCTATTTCTCATAGTTTCCGAGGAAACCTACTGGTCCACTTAAAATGGCCCACCCTGTATATTTATTCGTGCCGCATATCATTGCGGTTAACGTGGTGAACGTCATTAAAATTCGGTTTGATTGCGGTTAACGAGGCAAACCAAGATTGAAATTCTATCATAACAGTTTCTTCCTATTCAGTAAAATAGGCCGACAGAATACGATAACATTCGTAATTTGAGTGAACAAAACAAGTTTTGCAGCTAGAACTACATGAATAGTAAAAAACGGGATTGTGGATATTCTAGTAAGACTGTAAGTAATCTCTAAAGCAATTTTCTGCGTAAAATTTGAATTCATCCTCAGAATTGAGCCATCACGTCACGCTTTCGAGATATCCTAACGTAAACATGCTAAAGCCTTTAGGCTAGATTTTTACCTATATTCAAAGTTAAGTGACATCGTGAACGAATTTCATTTTCATAAACGGACCATACACCATAAAATAATACTCCTACCCTTCGAAATCCACTTTACAGATTAGGAATACATTTTTATTCATTGAGACTATCGGAGATTCCCCGTGGGGTTAATCAATAACTACGCGAGTGAAGTTGATTAGGGGTATTCACGGGGTGAAGTTAATGAGGGAGTATTCAGGGGTATGCGAGTGGGGTAGATCAGTGGGTATGCAAGTAGGGTTAATCAGAGCATGAGGTTGATCAGTGGGTATGAGAGTGGGATTGATCTGGGAGTGAGGTTGATCATGGGGTATGCGAGTGTGGTTGATCAGAGGCTGAGGTTGATTAGGTTTTATGGGAGTGAGGCTAATCAGGGGTTTATCAGGAAGTTGATTGGAGGATATTAATCACTGAGTGTTTAGATGATATACCGGAACGCTTTAGATTTATCCGTATTATTTTTCACAAAATAGATCGTTTTTATAATTTTGTTATGATCCGTTTTTGAATTCGGATGGTAAAAATAGATACTCTAAATACAGTTTCACCCCTGTACAACGTAAGGCTCGTAACCCCCAATGAAAAAACCTGTATGGATACGTTTTCTTTTATATAGATTTTTTCAATTTTTTTTTGTCGAAAAATAGTCATAAATACCCAAGATATTGCTGTAACAGGGTTTTGGGGGTGGCTTTTGAGGGTGGTTTCCAGACTCCAAATTCCTTTTCTAGCACAACAATAGCGTAATCCTCTCATCAATTTTTAAGTGTCATAGCAAATGAAAAATCAGCGAAATTGGTGATTGGCAACTATTCATATAGCAATAGTAGGGTTTGGGGGTGGTTCACCCTCGAAATATTAAATAACGAAAAACTCCGAAGCTGATCAATATTATTTTATCATTTTCTAGATGAAAATTTATTTTTTAATTTTTATGGTAATTTCGTGATTTTTTACGCGAAAAATCCAATCAAAAAGGTTGTTCTTTCCCCTTATATCGTATGGGTTGTAACCCCCAAAGAAAAAACCTATATAGTTATATCCACTTTTTTATAACGAATTTTTGAAATTTTTTGTTGTCGAAAAATATTAATATAAACTGAAGATATTGCTGTAATAGTGTTTTCGAAGTAGTTTTTGATGGTGGTCTTCAGCCTTTAAATTTATTTTCCTACAGACCAACAGTGTCATTATCTAGCTCACTTTTAAACATCATAGCATATGGAAAATCAGCAAAATTGGTGATCGACAACTATTCATATAGTATTAATAGGGTTTAGGGGTAGTTCACCCTGGAAATACATAAAAATGAAAAAACGCCGAAATACGTAAATTTTATTTTATCATTTCCTAGATGAAAATGTATGTTTCAATTTTTTTATGATAATTTTGTGATTCTGTAGACGAAAAATCCACTCAAAAATGTAGTTTTTCCCCTGTACATCGTAGGGGTTTCAACCTCCCTGTTTACGGTATCTGCGCTTGGGTATCCGATTCGTTTGTGGGCCTCGTGCAGCGCGGCTGCATCGCACATGCGTCGCAGCTGACCTCGCGGTAAGCTGTGACGCATGTGCGTTGCATCTGCACGTCATTATCGACACGTGTTGGACAATCGAAAGCGGTGCGATATGCTACGGGGTCCGACCGTGCGACGCGCTGTGGGCCTCTCTATTACGCTACGGGTCCTGAATGCGGGGGTGGAGTGGGAATGCTTCGCCCAATATAAGACGGGCATCGCTTTCCCCAAGTTTAGTTTTAGTTTTGTTGCCCTCTTTGACGGATCCGAACGTTCTTATTCTGTGCGCTGCGGTTCGATTTTGTACACGAGCGAAGTAATTGTTGTGACCACGGCGAAAGCATCGTCCGACATCGCGACCAGTGACTCGTGGCTGCTGAGCCACGGACAGGGAGACCTGCTGCCGTAGGTGAGGGCGCGACCAGCCCTCAGAAGTGCCTCCAACTACGCGGCTCTGTGCCCATCAGCTTCCTCAGGTGACGCTGTAGCGAGGGCTGTTCCCGTTCCCGAGACGTCGGGGCTACACCGTCCCTTTAATTTCGGAGGCACTTTCTCGATTCCTCTCCCACTCTCACGAGTCCTACATCATGCGGTAAGTGGACCGGATGATCCACCGATTTGCGTGCGCACATACGACAAAGATTGTAAAGGCGAGAGCCTAGAGGCGAGCGACGTCCAATTTGATGCTTGCGTTCTACTCATTGTAAATTATTATTAATAAAGTTGCTGCATCTAAAGGGCTTTTCCCCACCTATGACTGGGGTTTTTATGCCGGCTAGGTGCAGTCTCGTCCCTAATCTAGGGAATAAAAAGAAACCGCGACTTCTTGTATATTGAACCTCTGAACAGCATCCACTTCCTTGGACCTATCTAATACACACTCACTCCATTTTCTCTTCGGCAGGTAATATTGCATTTATTCATGGTGCCCCGAGTGAGGAGTGTATGATGTAAAGAGGTTCAATCGCTAGTTTGTTGTGTTGTTATAGAGTAAAGTTACGATAAAGGTCCACCTTGCTAAGGGTTCGCGAATCGTGTTAGTTACGTACACGTATATATATAAAAACAATGGCGCCTATTGCGTTAGCGCGTTTGGTCGCGTTGCAGGCCCATCGGAAGGCCGAGATCGAGCAAATCGGGTCTCGAATGAGGGAGCGCGCGCCCGACACGCTCAACCGTGTCATCGTGCAAACTCGTGTAGATACTATCAGGGAGATCTGGGCCGAAGCCCGCAAGACGCACCACGACATTACCTTACGTGCTGAATCAGAGGAGCATCCGTACACTGTCGAAAACGAGTTTCAAGCGATGCGCTGTGCTTACGAGGACGCTTCTGACTGGCTCATCACGACCCTCGCTAACCTCCCGTCGGAGGACAATCACAATCCGCGCAGACGTACACGCGAGGACGATGAGATAGATGACCAACTCGCGAAACTCCCACGCTTAGACCTACCGTCGTTCTCGGGAAATTATGAGGATTGGGACAGTTTCGCGGACATATTCCGCACTCTTGTGCACAATGCTCCACGTCTCGCCGACACGGCGAAGCTTCAATACCTTAAGTCGTGTTTGACAGGCGCTGCAGGGGAACTCGTGAAAGATGTAGCGATCATTGGAGTCAACTATATTTCTACCTGGAAAGCGCTTCATGATCGTTTCCACAACCCGCGCTTAACCATTAATAAGTTGCTCGACTCGCTGTTCAACATGCCGTACTTAAAGAAAGAGTCTGCTGTGGATTTGAGCGCGTTCGTCGACGAAGTTCAGCGAATCATCCGTGCACTCACCAATCTACGAACACCCGTACAGCACTGGGACATTTGGCTTGTGCACGCAATGGAGATACGTCTAGATCCTGAGTCGAGAAAGATCTGGGAGAGCGAATTAATCTATCGCGAACGGCAGACGACCACAATCACGATCGAAGGATCAGATGGAAACCCATGGCGCTTCGCCAAGTTCGTGGATCTAGTCGCGTTCTTAGAACGAAGGGCTCAATCACTACTCGCGATTCATGCAGATAAGGACGAGAAAAAAGGACCGTCTACCAACAGCTCGAACCATAACTCGCGCCGCGTTCATCACGCTAACGCATCCTTGCCAGCGAGAACGTCTAGGTGCGCTCTATGTGCGGGAGAGCACTTCATTTCGCGTTGCCCGACTTACCTTGCTAAAAAGGTCCACGAACGTCAGAGCGACGTGCGTCAATTGAAGCTCTGCTTTAATTGCCTCGGCCAGCATAAGTTCAATAAGTGCAGGTCGACGTACACATGCAAGGTCTGTCGTGAAAAACATCACTCGACGCTCCATCGACCGAGTAACAACCCTAGTAGCGCCGCGCCCAAAAGCACGCAGAATGGCACGAATGCGAGTACCGAATCGGAAGTCCGAGCGAATGTCGCACGAATAGGCGCACACCGCGGCATCGCGGCGCATGCATGCAACAGGAGTGTGCCCGAAGATGACTGCCCAGTTCTCCTAGCCACCGCCTTGGTGAAAGTCGCAAGCCCCGATGGAAGGGAAGTCGGTGCTCGGGCACTCCTAGACCAGGGTTCTGAGGCGACCTTCGTGTCCGAGTCGCTTGTTCAACTGCTCGGACTCTCGAGGGATCGCGTACACACTAATTTAACCGGTGTGGGAGGGTGCGCGGCTGGATTAGTAAAATCCGCAACTCGCTTCACATTACGATCACGATCGGACGCGAGTTTTCAAAAGCAGGTCAACGCGTTTATCTTACCACGACTTACCTCTGATTTGCCATCGCGCGCCTCCACGAAACAGGACCTCACGCAGCTTGAGGTTTTACCTTTGGCCGATCCTTTCTTTAATACGTCGGGTCGGATCGATCTGATGATCGGAGCCGACCTCTACGGTCAGCTGCTGCGCCCGGGCCTCAAGCAGGTTTCGAGCTCGGGCTTGGTCGCGCAAAACACTGCATTCGGGTGGATAATATCGGGCCCCACTTACAAACCCTCGTCACGGCGGGCGGTACACGCAAACTGTGCATCGATCAAAGTCCTTCGGTGCGTAGTCAATAGTGACCTGAGCGAGCTGCTACAACGCTTCTGGACGCTTGAGGAGGTGCCGGCCGTCACCGATTCACTAAAACCGGACGATAAAGCGTGCGAGAAGTTTTTTACTGAAACGCATAAGCGAGGAAGCGATGGTCGTTACCAGGTACGCCTTCCGCGTGTAGAAGAGATACCGCGCGTCGGTATGGAAACGCAGCGTATGGCCTTGTTCTCGTTGACGTATCAGCACAAGCGCTTGGCTCGTGATCCGCAGCTCAACCGCGCGTACACGGAATTCATGCAGACCTACTATGACCTCGGCCACATGGAGCGGGTCCCCGACCATGAGAGAAACAATCCCTACGCGTGGTACCTGCCACACCACGCGGTTATGCAGGCTGCCGCGATACCGCCGAAGATACGCGTTGTTTTCGATGCGTCGCGTCAAACTCGGGACAAGCACAGCTTGAACGACTTTCTCATGGCCGGGCCCCCGCTTCAAAGTGAGCTTGACCTCATTTTACTCAATTGGCGTAGATATCGCTATGGCTTCACTGCCGACATAGTGAAAATGTTTCGACAAATTCGTGTAGCGCGCGAAGATCAGGACCTCCAGCGCATCGTATGGTCACCTGTCGCCGAGTCACCCCCCATTCACTATAGACTGACGACGGTAACCTACGGTACTTCCTGCGCGCCATACCTAGCTATTCGTACTCTTCTACAGCTAGCTCGCGACGAAGAGAAACGCTTCCCACTCGGCGCGGCCTGTCTCGAGTCAGAAACGTATGTCGATGATACTTTCGCCGGCGCGGACGACCTCGCAAGCGCCATACAGAAACGCGACGAATTGATAGCCATCCTGAGATCGGCCGGCGTCAAGTTGGACAAATGGGCGGCTACGCACCCCGAGCTACTACCTTCAAGCACGACGCAAGGCAACGGCTGCGTGTCGAAGGAAATCGACAGCGAGAAGGCAGTGAAAACCCTCGGTGTGCACTGGTCGCCTTCGCTGGACTGCTTCAGTTTCACCATCGGTGAGATCGAGTGCCGTCGCGAAAAACTGACCAAGCGAACTATCTCCTCCGATATCGCGCGCTTATTCGACCCACTAGGCTGGCTCGCGCCAATCACCATGACCGCAAAGACCATCCTGCAAGATTTATGGCTCGAAAAGGTAGACTGGGACGCCCGCGTGTCAGGTGAAGTTTTTGATAGATGGCTCACCTACTGCCGCTCCTTAGGCCTTCTCTCGTCGTTATCCGTGCCTCGTTGGTTAGGCCTCTCGCAGCGTAAGTCATACGAGGTACATGGCTTTTCGGATGCCTCCAAACGTGCGTACGCTGCCGTTGTCTACCTGCGGATTGATAACGGTGACGGTACCTTTGCCGTTTCGCTACTCGCGGCTAAAACAAAGGTCGCGCCCGTGAAAACTGTTAGCATACCTAACCTTGAGTTGCTCGGCGCAGTGTTGACAGTTAAGCTCGTCCGCCACCTGCAGGGGCTCGAGTTCGTGAGGTCCGCGCCGGTGCGCCTATGGTCAGACAGCCGAATCGTCCTCATGTGGCTTAAAAAACATCCGTGCCACTGGAAGACGTTCGTCGCTAACCGCGTCTCGCTCATACAGACCGAGTTACCTTCTGCGACGTGGGATCATGTACCCACGAAACAGAACCCGGCTGACATAGCTTCTCGCGGCGCTACCCCCGCCGAACTAAAATCGCTCGATCTATGGTGGCAGGGTCCACCCTGGCTCGCTTCTCACTCACAAGCATGGCCTCAGTCGCCAGAAACGGTGCAAATCTTGCACACAAAGTCGAGAAATGACGAACCAGAGATGTTGTCGCGGTATTCGACCTTAACCAGATTGACACGCGTGACAGCTTGGTGTTTGCGACCGTTTTTACAATATACGCGGCGCAAGGCGCAAGAGGGTTTATACACCCCGTTCCTCTCGACGGCAGAGCTCGACAACGCCCGGCAGGCGATCTTGAAGCTTGCTCAGTCGCACGTATTCGCCTGTGAGATCGAGCTTTTACGGGACGGTAAGGGCCTGCCCAGACGACACGCTTTGCACTCATTGAGGCCGTTCCTCGATAGCGACGGAGTCTTGCGGGTGGGAGGCCGCTTAAGTAACGCGCCGCTACCTTCTCACGTGCGAAATCCGCCGATTCTACCTCGTCAATCGGCCCTTAGTCGATTATTCGTCGCTCATGCGCACTGTAAAGCCCTACATGGTGGACCTACTCTAACCACAAGTGTTCTGTTGCGATTCGCATGGATCATAGGTATGCGTGCGCTTATCAAGTCCGCGATCCGCAAATGCGTAAAGTGCCAACGCCACAAACCCCGCTTGGCCCATCAACTAATGGGCAACCTACCAGCCGAGCGAGTGACGCCTGCTCGCCCTTTCACCACCACCGGCTTGGACTACGCCGGACCGTTCCAAGTGCGTACCTCCAAGGGCCGTGGCCAACGCGCTTTCAAAGGATATATCGCCTTATTTGTTTGTTTTGCCACCAAGGCGATACATCTGGAACTGGTGAGCGACCCAACAACACCTTCAGACGACATGTCGCTTGTCTCGCACCGCTGACGCTGGATCATCGAAAGGATCAAGAGGAGCCGTCCAAGTGGGAGAGATCGACGCGTAAAACTAAGTCGCGATAGAAGGTTCGTCCTTAAGGACGAAGGCGGGCGGAATGTTTACGGTATCTGCGCTTGGGTATCCGATTCGTTTGTGGGCCTCGTGCAGCGCGGCTGCATCGCACATGCGTCGCAGCTGACCTCGCGGTAAGCTGTGACGCATGTGCGTTGCATCTGCACGTCATTATCGACACGTGTTGGACAATCGAAAGCGGTGCGATATGCTACGGGGTCCGACCGTGCGACGCGCTCTGGGCCTCTCTATTACGCTACGGGTCCTGAATGCGGGGGTGGAGTGGGAATGCTTCGCCCAATATAAGACGGGCATCGCTTTCCCCAAGTTTAGTTTTAGTTTTGTTGCCCTCTTTGACGGATCCGAACGTTCTTATTCTGTGCGCTGCGGTTCGATTTTGTACACGAGCGAAGTAATTGTTGTGACCACGGCGAAAGCATCGTCCGACATCGCGACCAGTGACTCGTGGCTGCTGAGCCACGGACAGGGAGACCTGCTGCCGTAGGTGAGGGCGCGACCAGCCCTCAGAAGTGCCTCCAACTACGCGGCTCTGTGCCCATCAGCTTCCTCAGGTGACGCTGTAGCGAGGGCTGTTCCCGTTCCCGAGACGTCGGGGCTACACCGTCCCTTTAATTTCGGAGGCACTTTCTCGATTCCTCTCCCACTCTCACGAGTCCTACATCATGCGGTAAGTGGACCGGATGATCCACCGATTTGCGTGCGCACATACGACAAAGATTGTAAAGGCGAGAGCCTAGAGGCGAGCGACGTCCAATTTGATGCTTGCGTTCTACTCATTGTAAATTATTATTAATAAAGTTGCTGCATCTAAAGGGCTTTTCCCCACCTATGACTGGGGTTTTTATGCCGGCTAGGTGCAGTCTCGTCCCTAATCTAGGGAATAAAAAGAAACCGCGACTTCTTGTATATTGAACCTCTGAACAGCATCCACTTCCTTGGACCTATCTAATACACACTCACTCCATTTTCTCTTCGGCAGGTAATATTGCATTTATTCACTCCCTGAGTCTGAAACTATGCGGTTTTGTTGTTTTTTAAGTAAGAAATTTTTTTCAATTTGTTTCATCAAATAAGATTCAATACAACCAAAGTTACTGCTGTTTAACTGTTTTTAGGGTTGACTTTTTGAGGGTGGTTTTCACCCCCTTGGCAGCTTTTTCCGCCAATAAAAAAAAAAAACGTGTCTCTTATTTTTTTATCAAGTATAACTTATCTCAATTGCAACGAAATTGAAGGCGGACGGTTGGGAACGTTCCCTTTTTAGCCGTTATCAGTTGAGACATCATGTCTGAATCAAGATCATTTTAAAATCAAACATGCATATTGTGCTAAAAAAGAAATTATGACTGCCGATTCTAAAAGTGCGAAAAATAGTAAGTTAAGATACAATATTTATTATTTTATCTGTTACGATTTCAAAGATCATTTTAAGGTTGTTTTATACTGCATTATTAAATATTGGTTATATGCTATTGTATAAAGTAAGTTTAAAATTGAAAATACGTATTTAAAATTATTAAATTTATTAAAGTGATTAAAAATTGAATGAAATACACTTTTGAGTTTAGGTATCACAAGTTAGCGAGTTATTATTCTGACTAAACAAAATGATACATGATATACCAATTAATATTACATTAATCAATAATCGTTGCAGTAATCGTTGAGTGCTTATAGACTTTCATCCCGCGTGGTCAGAACCTCTTGGCCACATTGTGCAAGCGTATTTTTGCAGTTAACTGCAATAAATTCCTCTTAGATTTTTATTTTAGTGCATACTTGATGTTTAGCCCGGTGTTGATGTAATCTCAACCCTCACCCACAGTAAGAATCTGTATTTAATTTGCTGTCTGTTACTTTGTTTCACCCGTTTCTTCCAATTTTCAGTCGCGTGAAACGCATACGTTGCATCACCCATTTACCAAGTAGCTGATTGAGGCGGTAGTTAGCTTCACAAAAAGGAACAGGAATTTTGTAATAGCGTTAAATAAATAATGCTTTATTAAACAAACCGTTATAATCTATATTAAAATATTATTCGAACAATTATTTGTTCCACCCGAGGTAGCACAAGTGTCATACTTTGTGATTTTCAAAGCATAAAACATTTGAAATAAGTTTCAAATCATCTATGAAGATATTTTGCTCTACCAAATTAATAACTTTTTTATTTTCAGATAGAAAATTAGATTTTGCTCAAAGAATAAACTTTCATTCTAACAATTCATCTATAAAAAGGGTCTACCTGTAATTTAAAAAAAATCTCTCCCTGATGTAATCTAAAAAATTTGTCTTCATATAACCTGAGATATATCCTGATATCATGGAGTTGAACTCCAGCCACGTGTTAGATGGTAAAGTTTTTTCCCACATTATCAATTTCAATCATTTACATTTGCAATCTTTAAAAATTTGAAATTAACGATATCTTTAAGGTGGAATAACTGACGATGATAACACAATACTCGAAGAATTTGAATCATTTTTTGATGGAGAGGCAAATGAAATTGATGAAACAGGAATTGCAAAAATTAATCAAAGTAAAACAAACAACAAAGTAAATTAAAGTAAATCAAAGTAAAACATTAAAATAAAATCCCTTATTAATACACCTGAAAAGCTAGATGATTCTAATTTAAATAATCAATCTTTGCATAAGAAAACTCGTATTGGAAAGCTTAGTCCTCACAGTAACATCTGATTTAGAATATTTACTACAAAAATCAGAAAAATCAGCAGAATCAATAGATGAGAGCATATATGAACTGCATTGGTAGTCGATTCGATCAATCGATACGTTCGCGATTCGGTAGCACTCGCGATGCTAGTAGGCCAAGCAACAGGGCTTGAAAAGAGTGATTTCGTGACAAAAATACTACCTGGAAACCGAGTGTGCAATCGTGTGCAGATAAGTTGAGATATCATTGGTGTTATGTTTTGGACACGCAACTCCTGTCACCCTATTTGTTATAAACATTTTAAACGAAAAAAAGGCATTTTTTTTAGTTTTTTGTTAATAACTCTGCGAATAATGTAGCGATGTTAATGATATAGGTACACAAAATGTAGGTAAAACAATTACGAACAAAACTAGACCTCGAGCGACAAAATCGGATAATTAGGAACCGAGGAAAACCCGGAAAAGTGGCGAAATTTAACATTTATTTAAAAATTCATATCTCCGTCACTTTTTATTTTGTAGGACTGAGTCTTTGCGAAAATGTAGTATTATTTATGTACTTCATGTGTGCCAAAAGCTGACGCTGTGAAGTAAATAGTTTTCATGTAATCGTAATTTCAGTTTTTCTAAGCGATATTTTTCATCATCTCTCCTTGCGACAGTGATTTTTTCATCTTAAATTTGAAAACGGTTTTAAAAAATGCAGATTCCACCCAACAAAACGTATATTCTAGTTTTTCACTTAAATTTTTGCAAGTGTGTGATAAATGCCGGGAAAGTCGACTAAAAACGGCTGAGCGCACGGAAACGTTCGAGTGGTGGGGGGAGCAGCAGCCGAGGAGAGGCACACATATATAGTAATAGAGGCGCGCTGCGCCCTCTTATAATTTTTCCATCTCAATATCTCTGCAACCATAAATGTTATCTTAACAATTTTTTTTTATTTCGGATCTACTGAACTCCGGGAAATCAAATATTTATTTAGAATTCGTAAATAATAAAAGGCTAAGCATAAATTGTTGAAATTAAAAAAAAATTTAACCCAATTTTATTGGTAAAGAAATAAATGATTGTGAAAATATGCAGAAGCGTTGTTTACAGCTGTACGTTAACTGAGCGCGTGGCGTCACTTTCTCTTCTCGTTTGAATGCCCAACGGTCGCAGCCTCAGTACAATAAAGATGAAGAGAGAAATAGAGAAAGAGACAGAGCGAGAAAGAGAGAGAAGAAATAGTATTCCATTGGAAGAAAGAAAGAGACAGAGAGAGAGAGAGAGACAGAGAAAGAGAGGAGAGAGATAGATGAAAAGAAAAGGGAATGGGGGCTGGACCAAAATCCAGCTTCGTAAACATAATGACAACATTTATTTTGAAGAACATCGGAAAGTAATTAATTTATTGATTATTTATAAATTCTAAATAAATAATTGATTTCCCGGAGTTCAGTAGATCCGAAATAAAAAAAAAATTGTTAAGATAACATTTATGGTTGCAGAGATATTGAGATGGAAAAATTATAAAAGGGCGCAGCGCGCCTCTATTACTATATATGTGTGCCTCTCTTCGGCTGCTGCTCCCCCCACCACTCGAAAGTTTCCGTGCGCTCAGCCGTTTTTAGTCGACTTTCCCGGCATTTATCACACACTTACAAAAATTTAAGTGAAAAACTAGAATATTCGTTTTGTTGGGTGGAATCTGCATTTTTTAAAACCGTTTTCAAATTTAAGATGAAAAAATCACTGTCGCAAGGAGAGATGATGAAAAATATCGCTTAGAAAAACTGAAATTACGATTACATGAAAACTATTTACTTCACAGCGTCAGCTTTTGGCACACATGAAGTACATAAATAATACTACATTTTCGCAAAGACTCAGTCCTACAAAATAAAAAGTGACGGAGATATGAATTTTTAAATAAATGTTAAATTTCGCCACTTTTCCGGGTTTTCCTCGGTTCCTAATTATCCGATTTTGTCGCTCGAGGTCTAGTTTTGTTCGTAATTGTTTTACCTACATTTTGTGTACCTATATCATTAACATCGCTACATTATTCGCAGAGTTATTAACAAAAAACTAAAAAAAATGCCTTTTTTTCGTTTAAAATGTTTATAACAAATAGGGTGACAGGAGTTGCGTGTCCAAAACATAACACCAATGATATCTCAACTTATCTGCACACGATTGCACACTCGGTTTCCAGGTAGTATTTTTGTCATGAAAAAATCCCTGTTGCTTG